GTAATTACCCTGGGTTGATTTACTGTTGATTAAACTGCGGAAGATCCGACAGTAGCTTGGAATCTCTTAAACTGACCAAGCCCTCTCAGTCAAACTACCCGGCAGACGACTAGTCTTCACCTGAATAGAAAGCTGAGGCTATGAACACAGAACTCCACTACTGGAATTGGATTCCATTACAAAGCAGTAGATTGACTAACTCTCGTATAACCAATCCACTACTACCGAATGATGAAGCTCTAACAACCTAATCAGATTCTATCTATCTCAGGTTGCAGCAAAAATCAAGAAAAGCTGATCAGACTTCAATTAATTCAATGAATCATGCATCATTCGATTATAATCAAACAGTATAACAATCCCAATGTCATTAGAATCAAGATCCCTAACACATGGAACTAGGGTTCTTCATACCAAGTGAGAGAAAGTTCTACTCCATAGAGAGAGAGGGGAAAACAGAATACAAAGCAGTCATACTCATAATAATGGGAAGAATCTGCTCTGGGATGATGATTTTCACTCCTATGATGATCTCCAAGCTTGATTTGATGAAACCCAGCTCCAAAACCACTCTTAGGATGAGTTCTTCGCACTTTCTCTCTCTGGGGCTCTGTTTTTGCTCCAAAAAGTCGATTCCCTCTCCTTTGGCTCGAAATTTGGTTAAAACCCAGCTTTTCCCGATCACACGGGCAGGCCACACGGCCGTGTGGTTACCCAGCTGCCCGTGTGAATGCCAAAACGCGGCGTTTCGAATAAATGGACTTCAGGCTACCTAAACGGGCAAGGGCACACGGCCGTGTGGAATTTCCAGTGTGCCCGTGTGAAGCCTCGCTAAATCCCACACGGCCTACATTGGTTCCTTGCACGGCCGTGCGGGTTTTATGAGTGCTCGTGTGTCCTCCTCAGCGACTCGCCACTTTTTCGATCTTCGTCCAATCGACCCCGAACTCGCTCCCAAATCTTCATTCACGTACTAGGACCTGAAATATCACAAACAAGAACAACCTAGCGTGAAATCGGCCTAAAACACGAGAATCAACATCTCAACGGCTCAAGAATTGGGGTAAAAACATGTGCAATTAACGGTCTATCACATGGAGTAGTCAATTATTTCTCTTGGGTGTTTGTAAACCCTAGCTACAATTATGTGAATGTTTGTATGGATTGAATGATTTATGTGTGGATGTGTTTTGATGTGAATTTGGACGTATTTTCATGAAAGATTGTGTTGTGTGTATGCCTATCAATCTATTTGCCATTCTAACCTAGGTAGATAGAAAACCTCATTTCTTTGAAAGAGGCTTGTAAAGTTGGGTTTTCTTAGGCAAAGCTTGTCTCCCATATAGGTTAATGTAGGGCAACCCTCTTTGTTCGTGTTAGCACCTAGGATTGGTTGTAATTTGGTCGTCCGAACTCCGATTCGAGGGCGAGTTGAGTTCCCTTGACCTAGAGAACAAGAGAGCGGCGTTTGGCTACTTGTTGTCCTTCCCTAAGGTTTACAACCTCCTTACCACACATGTCCATTCGATCCGACCAATCATAAATGCTAGCTAGGGGGAGCAACACCAGGGTGAAGCTTTCTCAATTAGTGTCAAATCCATTCACTTTTCCAACCATTTAGCTATAGATAATTGTTGTCACCAAAAAAACCAATCGCTAGATAATGTTACAAACAATCGAAGTAGGGGTACACGAACTGGCACAGGTTGACATTTAAAACAGACTTGCCTTGCATTGCACCCAATTGAGGTTTATACTTGGGCCTTAATTGGGAGTTTTATTGTGATATTCGGGATGATTCAACCAACAACAAGACTAGAGAACTCTCGAGATTCAATACCCATGCACTTCATGTTTGCATAGAAATACCTAACAACGAGAGGACATGGAGGCAGAGGGAGGGAGTGAAGAAGAAGGCCCCATCCAAGGTTGTTGATGTAGTGCGGCACCTGAATGTCAAACTCTCGAAACTCTGCAGGGTCGACAATGATTTTAGTGTGAAGAGAACGAGAAGCAAACAATCTATAGAACCGATCGTGATTCCTTTGCTAGGGTCATTAACAACCTTGTTTACAAAGGTTTAGTTAACACCATGAAGTCGTGGAAGGGGGATGTTGTCAGCCATGTTTGGGGCAGAGAACGGAAACAAAGGAAACAAGGAAGCAAAGAATGAAAGGGTAAAGAGATAGTAAGACAGAATACAAAGAGATGGTAAGATGGAAGGAATCAAGAAAATATAAAGAGTCACGCTTCGGCTAAAATTTAAAAAATGGAATAACAAAAGTCCGGCAAGAGATAAATACAAAAGATATTTCTTACCTCTGTAGTAGATATTACTTACCTCCTACATATCAACAAATCAATATTCCCAGTAGATATACCTCACACCTACACCATAAAATCTCCACCAGTGATTCGACACTTCAAATAATTATAACACTAGGACAATAGATAGACTTGAAAGCTCGGCCACTGATTCGACCCCTCATAATAATTACTTGCACTATAATAGATAAACTTCTAGTATGCTTTCTGAGATATTTGGTATGCTTTAGGAGACTTGTGATGTGCTTTTACGTAACTTGTGGTGTGGTTAGATTGTTCTGCTTTCTCTCCCTTCCAACGAATGATCCGTTCGAGACTTAGTGAAAATGAAATACGTTTAGAATTTCCATAAAATTTTATCCCTAATTAATAGGTTCAGAATATCCGAAAACCAATTCACATTTATTCAGCTTTCAAGCCTAGTTGGAATGGTCCAGTGCTTGTCCCATTAACCCGCATGCATTAAGCCCACTAGAGCAGTAATTGGATCCGAGATCAGATTGCAGTATTCTAAACCCAATAAGGTAGGTTATTTCACAAACACAAGTTAAGATAACTATCCACCCACAATTCGATTGAAATTCCCTCTTCGTCATCTTCTTCCTCCGGCCGAAACGATCCCAAAACGTAATACACCTACCTGGAACAAGAACGAAAACTAAATAAATAAAGGGGCAATACAATAGACTTGTGCCGTGATTTTATAAACATGTGGTTTGCTCTATGTTACTTGTGGCATACAATAATAAACTGCTGGTGTACGTTATTGGTCATGTTGTGTGCTTTAACGAACTTATGGTGTGTGTTTCTAAACTTGTGGTCTGCTTTCTGCAATCGTGTAATATAGAGAGGGATGAAATAAGAAGAATTTATGCATCGTAATTGCTCGGATCGAATTCAACGGAGAATGGGGGTTGTGATTACAAAGTTCTGCACCAGAATTGGAATCGATTGAAGTGGAATCATTCGTCGGAGTGGCAGTGAGAGATGGGAGATATGAAAAGAGAGAAAGCAAAGAACGCGTGACGGAGGAAGGGCTGACGGTACGAGAGGATGCGAAAAGGTTTGAGTGGTTTGCAGTTGAGGGCAGGGTCGTCTGGCAAACATGACTTTGGTTCGTACGCCCTGGCCAATCATCTTACGAAATTGGATTAGAATGTAACGTTTTTGGGTTGGGGGACTGGTGCTATAATTGTATTTATAATTCCACATAAATAGAGCCCACTACTTATCTCGACTGTTGAGATGGATCGCACGACAGAGATGTGTGGTGTAAGACATACCGCCATTTTTTTGCTGGTGGACGATAGACGTCACCATATATATATGTACAATTCAAGCTAGCGTACGTCAGGCGTACATTGTACGCCCGTCAAGTTTTACTATTTAGAGCACGAATTAACCGAAGTTTGGGACATGATACTATACACTAACCTCTAATTGGTGAACCCCAGTCCCTAATTCTCTAACCCAAGCAACATGATTCATTTAATCTAAAAAATAATAACCAACGGATCTGATTCAACCAAATATATTGAATTGCAATAATCAAGTGTGAACGCAGGCGTACAACGTACACCAAGTGTACGCTAGCCTTTGCAAACGCTATCCACTATATTGGCAGTTCTACGGTACCTAGGGTGAAATTCGGGGTACCGCATACCTCGAGTATGAAAACGCTATCCAGACCTTGAATTTTCTGATCTTTCATACATCATACCATACTCTAACCCTTAAATATCAAAATCTATGTCTTAATTCTCTAAATTTTATACCCCCAAGATAATTGAATTAGAAACAATAATCAACAGTTATGATTTGTTCAAATATAGGATAAAAAATGAATGCACCATCTTAAGATTTATAGTTATGATTTAGATAATTAGGACATAGGGTTCACTCTTTAAGGGTTGGGTATAGTATAGGGCGACAAAAATCCTACTAATTCAAGGTATAGATAGCGTTTTCATACTCAAAATAAACGGTACCTCGAATTTTACTCGACGTACCGTAGAAGCCACACACGCTCCACTGAATATATGAATTTTGTAAATTCATAACTCAAAAAATTTTTCTCCAAATTCCTGCAAAGTTGCTTTATTATATATAAAAAAAATTGCTTCGTGTTCTTTCAAAAAAAAAAAAAAGTAGCTTCGTGGTTGCCATTACCAAGCGTATATGGTCGTGGATACGAAGGAAAGGACACATTATTAAAACAAAAAAAAAAAAAAAGTAACATTTATTGAGTTCCTGAAAACTTGCTGCTGAAACTTCCAACAATGAAAGAGAGAGGGCTAGAATAGAATGCTAAATCCAATGATTTAGAAAGTGTCACGTGTGTCTCCTTCCTAGCAAACCACCAGTCTCCTCCAGCATCATTCTTCCTTTTCTTGGCTGATAATTTTGTGTTAATTGAGCTCCACTTGATTTCTTGGATTTGCTTCCAAAATCTCCCGATCCCAACTTCCCTCACCAACTACCAACATAAATATAAATCAAACCCTACACCAAACACGGCCACCAATATATAACATTATCGATCCCATTGCCCTCCTTCTCCCCTCTTCTTCCATCCTCCTCAAAACCAGACTCACCCTTTGGCCAAACACACATATATAGCATTGTACACCATGGACCAACCATGGAATCAAGCCACCCTAGCAACTTGGGAGATGATGGTATCGAAGAAGAAGTGGTCGGTGTGTGTGATCGGGGCAGGGCCTTCAGGTCTGGTGGCAGCTAGGGAGTTGAGGAAAGAAGGGCATAGGGTGGTGGTGTTGGAGCAAAAACATGATGTAGGTGGGCAATGGTTGTATGATCCAAACATAGAGAAGGAGGATCCATTGGGGCAGACCAAGTTCTTGGATGTCCATAGTAGCATCTACACCTCACTTAGGCTGCTCTCCCCAAGAGAGATCATGGGTTACACAGATTTCCCATTCTTTGTGAAGGAAGGGCCAGGGAGGGACCCAAGGAGGTTCCCTGGCCACAAGGAGCTATGGCTGTATTTGAAAGAGTTTAGTGTGCATTTTGGGCTGAGGGAATTGATTAGGTTCAATACAAGGGTTGAGTATGTGGGAATGTTGGATGGTAGTTGCGGGGGTTTGAAATGGGTCGTCAAGAGCAGAAAATTACTCAAAGTTGCTACAAGTAGTGCTAATTATTATGATAATAACAAACAGAAAGTTGATGAAATTGGAAGTGACGTGGGGAGTGAGGAGGTGGTGGTGGAAGAGGTTTTCGATGCTGTGGTTGTGGCTAATGGCCATTACTCTCACCCTCGATTGCCGTCTATTAAAGGTACGTATGTTAATTATGTTCTTTATTTTACTTAAATTCATAACCTCTGAATGATTAAGAGGGTAATCTTGGGCTTTGTTGTGTTTAATTATTAGGAATGGATACTTGGAAGAGGAAGCAAATGCATAGCCACGTGTACAGGGTTCCAAAGGCATTCCAAAATCAGGTAGGTAACTAGTGAAAGAGGGAACTATCATTATTTAATTAATACATACATACATAACAGTAATTTTTTAAATTTCTTTTACAAAATTAGGTGGTAGTGGTGGTGGGAAACTCCCTAAGTGGGCAAGATTTATCAATGGAGCTGGCGGGAGTAGCAAAAGAAGTTCATATCAGTGCAAGATCGCAAAACACTCTCACTGAGGGCTTCTCCACAGTCATTTCCAAATATGAAAATCTCCACCTTCGACCTCAGGTACGTACTCATTTGATTAATTAATTAATTAGATGTTTTGTTTCCAGTTTTACAGTTAATTAATCACGATTGATTGATTGACAGATCAAATCACTTGAAGAGGATGGAAGAATTCTATTTGTGGATGGGTCTTTTGTGGTTGCCGATGCTATCTTATATTGCACAGGGTACTAATTAGTTTAATTAATTACATATGCACGCATAGTAATTACATATCTATAGATATTCAGCTTCTATTAGATTGAAAATTAAATAAAGTACTAAAGCATAATCTTATATATTAGTTTCTTAAATACATGATTGGCAAAACCAAAAAGAAATTGGGAGCTCGATGGGTCTATCTATCCCCCCACCATTTCGATTAACTAAAAAGTTGGTTACATTTGCACATTCCCTTTTCAGCTTTGCCCAAATAAACAATATTTATACATTCATATTCCTGCCAAATCAATTGCTTCTTTTGGTATCGCCTTCCCATTAATCCATATATATCCCACCAAACCAAACCAAACCAAACCAAAGCTAGCTAGCTAGTTGTAGTTGAAGCCTTGCTGTGGGGCCTCTGATGAATCTCCAAATGAATCCAATTGAGTGGTGCAAGCAAATGTTTGCTGAACAGAAAAGTTTCCTTGTCAAAAAATCAAAGCATAGTCTCTCTCTCTCTCTCTCTCTCTCTCTCTCTCTCTCTCTCTCTCTCTCATACATGCATGCATACAAACATATAAATGGTAATGATAGGGTGTGGCAGAGTTGGTTCCCTAACAGCTTAGCCCATTCAAAACTAGCTACTTGCTCTAGCTATCTATTTATATATATGGTGGTCCATTTAATTGTTTGTTTGTTTGTTGCATGTAACGTAATGGTAACGTAGGTATACATACTCGTTCCCGTTTCTTGACACCAAAGGAACAGTAGCTGTGGAGGACAACAGGGTGGGGCCTTTGTATCACCACACCTTCCCTCCTTCACTTGCTCCCTCCCTCTCTTTTGTTGGCATCCCCAGAAAGGCAAGCTAGCTAATTAAGTCACATTCATTACATACATACATACATACGTATCTTTTCTTTTCTTTTCTTTTCTTTAATTACGTGAATATAATGCACAAAATGAGCAACTGGTTCGTTGTTGCTTTGCACTGCAGATCATAGCCTTCCCTTTCTTCGAGTCGCAAGGGAAATGGATTGCTCAAGTGCTGAGCGGGAAAAGGAAACTGCCTTCCCCGGATGACATGATGCACCACATTCACCAATTCTATCGCCAAAGAGAGGCCGACGGAATTCCCAAGCGCGACACCCACGACATCATTCACTTTGAGGTGCGTGCGGAAGTGAATCAGAGTCAATCTTGAATGATTTTTTGTACGTACGCATTTTCTTGCTTTTTGCATCGTATCACAATCGGTAATTCTATTCTTGTTGTATCGCATGCAGTACTGTGACATGTACGCAGATCAGGCAGACTTCCCACATCTGGAGGAGTGGAGGAAAAAGATGTGCCTCGTCGCTTTGGACAACTCATATGCCAACTTGGAGACATACAGAGATTCTTGGGACGATGATGAGCTGCTTCAAGAAGCCCTTCAGAGCCCCCATTTCACCCAGCAGCTTGGCCCAATCATCACCTGAAAACGTTTCTATACTACAAACTTCCAAGTGATGAATAAAAAACTACATCCCCATGAGGATGAGCCATCCATCCATTTGGTAACTAGCTTACCACCATATATGTATGTATTTCTTTTTCTCACGTACGCACGTAGGCTTCACCTTGTGGGATTTCTGTTTCTCCTTGTCCAATCAAAGAAGCCATAATAATGTTGGCTTCTTATGAGGAGCTTTAATTTAGAGTGCCTATAGTATATACGCTTGCTTGGATATGACATTGGAATCACATATCCCAAGGAGCGTCACGTTTTGCCAAAGTTTAATGGAGAAAAAGAAAAACTAATTTTTCTTGTTGGAATTCTGTTTCGATTGAGTTAATCGGTAAATTTCATTTTTGTTACAAAGTTTACTGTTTTTTTTTTTTTTTGACAATCAACAACCTGAATATTTATTAATTAACTATAGAGTCATGTTCCAAGACTGATAAAAGAAAATCAGGTGGCCTTCCGGCCCAAAATTCCTCTGCATCCCAAGGACATTGAATATGGGCCATTAAGTGGGCTGCTTGGTTGCCTTCTCTTCTTGTAAAACTCCATTTGACCCGCCCGGCCCTATTGGCTTCCATTTCGATTTCTTCAATCAATAGCCCAGTCTCAGTCCTTGTCCTCATCCTGTTCTTTAGCGATAGGAAGACGGTCTGACAATCCGTTTCCACCACAAGCTGCTGGAGGCCATGCATTTCCTTCAGTCGGAGATCGAATTGAATCGCCCGGATTTCGGCTAGCTCCGGTGGCCACTGCGCTCTCTCTCTTCTAATTGCTGCATATAAGAAATTTCTCATCTGATGAGGACATCAATGGGCCAGTCACACGTGCTAAGGCAAGGACGTTGAAGGAGAAGCTTGCGACATATTTGGATAGCTACTTTGGAGCCATGGATGTGGAGCTATTTCGAGGGAAGCCATATATGATGATTCGAGTGGAGGAAGAAGGAGGAAGTGCTGAAGAGAAGGCAGATTGCAAGAAGCAGCCTTAACGGGTTTGCTTAACGGGTCCAGCCTTAACGGGTTTACTTAACGGGTCCAGGCTTAATGGGTTGGGCTTAACGGGTTTGCTGGGCTGTTTTCCGAGTTTCCTTGTTTTAAAGTCGGTTTATGATTGTTTTTCCATGTTGGAGTCGGATTTGGGTTGTATTTTGCCTATTTAAAGGGCTGAACACGTTGGTTTTACCTTAGAGACGATTATTATTGAATTTCAGAGGCTAAAGCCGAGTTCCCTTCGCGGAATTTGCCCTAATTACTCTATCGAGAATCTCCAGAGTGCTAGAGCGACTCTTATCAGCTAGGTAATCACCCTGGTTGTGGCGAGCTACCCATATTGATTGCCCTTTATTCCGAGTTGAATCTGTCCGATCGATTCATATATCGATTGCCCTTATTCACGGGTGAGTACTGTCCGATCGATTTCCATCCTATCCGGTTCTGTTTGGTTGAGAAGCTTGACCCTGCACAACCTTGATTGTATCAAGTGGTATCAGAGCCCGGTTCAAATCAGTGGCGTGTTCTTGAAGTTTTTTTTGAAGATCTTGTGCGTTCTTGTTTGTGTTCTTGGTGGTTTTGTGCGAGTTCTTGAAGGTCTTGGCGTGTTCTTGAGCCGCAAGACAGGAGGTTGTTTGTTCTTGGGAGTTCTTGGTGTTTCTTGCGAGGCAAGAAGCAGGTTGTGCGAGTTCTTGTGTTCTTGGAGTTTTCTTGCATCGCAAACATGGAAGCAGCACTCGAAGCGATCAGAAATCAATTGGAGAACATTGCTCGTGCTCAAGAAGAGCAAACCGCAAGGCTTGTCGAGCAAGCCACGAGGATGGAGGCTGTCGAGACAAGGCTCCAGCAGCCGGTTGTGGTCGATGCAAACCCTAACCCTAGACCTCGACAAGAAGAAAGGGGAAGGGAAAACGAGCTCCTCCACCCTTGGTTCACGAAGTACAGCGTCATATGCACCAGCATAGACGCCTTGGAATGCCTCGAGCTGAAAGGAGAGGGCGGCAGCAACAACGTGAAGAGGAGTTTAATGACGAGGAAGAAGAGGGCTTTGAGGTGAAAGGAATTATGAGGGATCGGTTTGTACCGAGTTCCCATTTGCGAGATATGTATCAAAACCTCCAGCTTCTCCGGCAAGGAACTAAAAGCGTTGAAGATTATCACAAGGAGTTGGAAGTGTTGATGATACGTGCTGATGTGAGAGAGGACCGCGAGGCTACCATAGCTCGTTTTCTGTATGGTCTCAATCGAGAGATCAAGAACGTGGTGGAGATACAACCGTTCCTTGAACTTGAAGATTTGGTGGATATGGCAAGTAAAGTGGAACGACAGCTTCGAAATAGGAGGTTTCAAACCTCCATGAATTCCACACGTTCGAGCTAAGGAGTTGCAACCAACCCTAAGCCGCAACTGCCCGTGAAAGAAGCTCCTAGACCCGCGGCAAGGCTGATGGTGCAAATCCAGTTATGAAGCAAGGTGGATCGTCGGGGGAAATTTGTTGTTTCAAATGCCATGGAAGAGGACACATTGCGAGCCAGTGTGCCAATAAGAAGACCCTGATCTTGCTTGATAATGGTGAGTATGTATCGGAGGAAGAGGAAGAGACCACCGATTGTGATGTCGATGAGTCTATGGAAATGGAACCACCTCCAGGCAGCTTGTTTGTAACACGGAGAGTATTGTCTGTGCAGCCTAAGGAGGAGAGTGAACAGAGAGAAAATATCTTCCATACGAGATGTGTAGTTGATGGGAAGTTGCTGTCTCTAGTGATCGATGGAGGAAGTTGCACGAACGTTGTGAGTGCGTGTGCGGTGAATAGGCTAGGGCTGCCTACGTTGAAGCATCCAAAGCCATACACGCTGCAATGGCTTAACGATCACGGATCCATCAAAGTCACAAAGCAGGCACTAATGAAGTTCGAGATTGGAGATTACAAAGATGAGATTTTGTGTGATATAGTGCCTATGCAAGCTGCACATGTGCTTTTTGGCAGGCCATGGCAATTTGATCGACAAGCACAGCATGATGGAGTGACAAATAAGTACAAGTTGCAACATGAAGGAAAGAAGTTTGTGTTGAAGCCTCTGTCTCCAAGTGAAGTATATCGAGATCAACTCCAAATGCAGCAATGTCGAGAGCAAGAAAAGGCAAGTAATGCCTCGGCCAAGAAAGGAGAAGAGGGAGTTGGAATTGTGGATTCGAAGGCAGTGATGCTAGCACGCAATGGAGATTTGAAGCAAGCTACCTGTGCACGAGAACCTTTGATTGTGCTCATGTACAGGGACGTGCTGCTCAATCAAGAGCTAGTCCAAGAAGTTCCAGCCGAAGCAAGAGTGGTGTTGGATGAGTTCGAGGATGTGTTTCCAGAGGAAGCACCGAAGGGGCTGCCTCCTATTCGAGGAATTGAGCACCAAATTGATTTCATGCCGGGAGCTCAAATTCCAAACAAGGCAACATATCGAGCTAACCCGGAAGAGACCAAAGAGCTACAAAGGCAGATTGACGAGCTCATGGAGAAGGGGCATGTTCGAGAAAGTTTGAGCCCGTGTGCAGTTCCGGTGATTCTCGTGCCAAAGAAGGATCACACCTGGCGGATGTGTGTAGACTGCCGAGCCATCAATCAAATTACAGTTAAGTATCGTCATCCAATTCCACGATTAGATGATATGCTTGATGAATTACATGGCTCTACGGTGTTTTCCAAGATTGATTTGAGATCAGGTTACCACCAAATTCGTATGAAGGAGGGAGCCGAGTGGAAGACTGCGTTTAAGACCAAGCAGGGTCTATACGAATGGATGGTGATGCCCTTTGGTTTAACCAATGCTCCTAGCACGTTCATGAGGCTGATGAACCATGTTTTGAGGCCATTCATTGGCAAGTTCGTGGTCGTATACTTCGACGACATTCTGATCTACTCAAAGTGCATGGAGGATCATCTCAATCACTTGAGAGAGGTGTTGGCGATGTTGAGAAAGGAGAAATTGTATGCTAACCTCAAGAAGTGCTCGTTTTGTACTTCTAGTGTTATTTTTCTTGGTTTTGTGGTGAGTGCAGATGGAGTCAAGGTGGATGAAGAGAAGGTGAAAGCAATTCGCGATTGGCCTATTCCAACCAACGTGAATGAGGTGCGGAGCTTTCATGGGCTTGCTGGATTTTATCGTCGATTTGTGCCCAACTTCAGCACCATTGCCGCACCATTGACATCCATCATCAAGAAGAACGTGACGTTCTATTGGGGAGAGGAGCAGACCAGAGCATTCGAGCTGCTCAAGCACCAGCTCACGCATTCACCTGTTCTGATGTTGCCGGATTTCAATAAGACATTCGAGGTGGAGTGTGATGCTTCTGGTTTGGGAATTGGAGCAGTGTTGATGCAAGATAAGAAGCCGATTGCTTACTTCAGCGAGAAGTTGAGTGGGGCTGCCCTTAACTATCCGACGTACGACAAGGAGCTTTATGCTCTAGTTCGAGCCTTAGAGACATGGCAGCACTATCTTTGGCCGAAGGAGTTCGTGATTCACACTGATCACGAGTCGTTGAAGTATTTAAAAGCTCAACACAAGCTAAATAAGAGACATGCTCGATGGGTTGAGTTCATTGAGTCCTTTCCATATGTGATCAAGTACAAGCAGGGGAAAGAAAATGTAGTTGCTGATGCCCTATCTCGAAGACATTCGTTGATCACGACAATGGGGGTGAAGTATTTGGGTTTCGAGCATATCAAGGAGCTCTATTCTAATGATGTTGACTTTGGGGAGATCTATAGAGCTTGTGAGAAGCATGGCGATGGGAAGTTCTATCGAAGTGATGGCTACTTGTTTCGAGCTAACCAGTTGTGTATTCCTCGATCATCACTTCGAGAGTTGCTGTTGAAAGAGGCTCATGGTGGAGGCTTAATGGCACATTTCGGTGTAGACAAGACGTTGAGTTGTCTACAAGAGCACTTCTATTGGCCGCACATGAAGGGAGACGTGGAGAATCTGTGTGCGAGGTGTGTGGAGTGCAAGCAGGCCAAGTCGAAGGTGCAATCATCTGGATTGTACACACCGCTACCGATTCCATATGCTCCATGGATCGACATCTCTATGGATTTTGTGCTTGGTTTGCCGCGGACAAGGAAGGGAAGAGATTCGATTTTCGTGGTGGTGGATCGATTCTCGAAGATGGCACACTTTATCCCATGCCATAAGACTGACGATGCGGTTAACGTGGCTGATTTGTTTTTCAGGGAAGTGTTGCGATTGCATGGGATGCCGCGTTCCATAGTATCCGATCGAGAT